GATTATTCCGATATACAAGCGTGGCGAGCTTAATTAAAGACGAAACCGGAAGCATTAGATGGTCCCGCCTGCGGCGCTCGGTCTGGAACGTGCTATCGCCTTCACGCTTAATATTTTACGCACGCAACGTGCGTTCAAATGGTGATCGCGAGTAAACACGCTCGTGCATAGACGAGGCGTCATAGATAACGGCGTGACGTCAAGCAGGTGCACGCGCACATTAAATTTGCGTGGTGACGCAATTAAAAACGTTACTCATAGCGGTCGATGCGATTAAATATTCGCAAACATTGGCGAGAAGAGAAAGGAAAAAAAGAGATAAATATCGTTCGAAAAGCGAGAGAACGATTGTACTAATGTAAAATTAACGCAAATACGAAAACGCGGATTTTTATTTCCAAATCTATTAACATGTGTAGAACATCTGAATAAATCTCGGAGATGCAAGAGACGAGAAGCTAGAGAATTTTCCGATAATCTCTTCCCTTTATATAAGTTACAACCGCACGAGTGTTCGAAGAAATTTGTCCTCTCGCCGGAAAGGATAATTATATCCGGAAGTAAGAAGGGAGTCACGTATACTGTCATTTCAGTCATTTGGATGAAGGTAGCTATCTTCTCGGCTGCACAGTTCTCGCGGGGACACTATTGTGAGCATCGCGGGCTTTTTCTCCATTCCTCCTTCTCTGTATACTGTTATTATTACATTAAAGGATGAAATTTAAACCAGTACCTTAAGTTAAATAACATTTTGTTAATTTTAACTACCATGTGTGTCAAAATTTATTATTTTAACTTCATTGGTTTAGTTAAATTAACGACGTATTGAGTTGGAGCAGTGGCGAACTATATATAGGAATGGTTAAATTAAAATACTCAAATTCAGTATAATTAACACCACGAATTTAACAGTGTGATGGCCATGCGTCCTGTGTCCTACATTCTCGTTTTAACATTTAAATGTGGATCAAAGATTGTATCTCCGTTGGTTGCTCCTTACATCTTATTATCATACCATTTCTTACGGTACATCTTACATTTCTAATGCGTTTTACTTACGTGTATCTACTATGTTTTCATTTAAATATTCAACTATTATTAACTATTAATATTTAACATTTAACTCCAGAGAGACTGGATTAAAGGCTCGTGCCTTTTCGTTTGCCACATCGTGTCTCACAATTAGTGCATCAGTAGCTATGTGCTCGCTGTAACGGGTAATTGTCCAGATCCGATTTAAAGGGTACGGGTAGGCGCGGGCCTTCCGCACGGAGGTCAAAAATAAGGCGACAGGCAGAACGCGGAAAGATAGGGGATACGTGGGTAGGCAGGCGCAGGCAGAGCGTAGTGCCGGGCATTGTCTCCGGGGCCATTCGTTGTTGCTTAAGTGGCTTGTTTCCACGCTTTCGTGGCTCCCCGCGATCGTCGGTAGGGAATCGCGTTGTCCGTGTACGAAACGCTGGGTGCTGCGCCGCGCCGCGCCGCCGCCCCGCGCCGTGAAACCGCGCTTATTATTATTAAGACGCGCGATTGCGCCAACCGGTCTTGAATTAAATAACATGGCACCGGCGTGGAGCAAGTGCGAAAATGCAACAACACGGACAAAAGGAGGAAAGTTCAATTAGGTAAACAGCATTAGTTGCCGAGCGACCGAGCTGCCGTAATCTACGCTAATTCTGTCGCAATTTATGAGAGAAGCATAATGATGAAAAGTTTGGTTATATCACAGATAATGTTAATCCTTTGGACCAACGGATTAACACCACATATATATCACAGAATGATGCATTTTATCATCTTAATTACAAAAAACATGGCCGTATGTGGCACTCCTCGTCTACTGATGTAGTAATTATTGCTAATTATTGCTAATTACTATATCAGTAGACGAGGACTGCCACACACGGCCATGTTTTTTGTAATTAAGATGATAAAATGCTTCATTCAAGGCCAGCAATGGCCTTAAAGGTTATATCACAGATAATGTTAATCCTTTGGATTAACGGCTTAACGTCTCTTTCTGAAAGACGCGGTGCCCAGTTTTATGCTCCGCACAAGAGGCCTATCTTGCACGGAGGGCGCAGCTTTCGGAAAATAAATTCCATGTTCTAGTGGACTCGAACCTGGTTCTTCAGATTACGAGTCTGGCACTCTACCACTAGACCACACTGCCGCCTCCAGCGAACCCGCATATCCGACGTTTCTTGTTTGAACAGGCTCCCGGAATTCAACGCGCACTGTTAAATTCGTAGAGTGTCAAATTATACTCAATTTTCGTCTTTTTCTGTTCCTACTCAATATATATATATATATATATATGTCGTTGATTTAACTAAAACAATATTAATTAAACTAAATCAATGGAGTTAAAATGATAAATTTTGACGCACATGGTAGTTAAAAATAACAAATTGTTATTCAACTCAAGGTATTGGTTTAAATTTCATCCTTTAATATTTAACAGTGTGCTCTCGTTCGTCGAAAACCATCGAGACGCGGGCAGGATCTCGATTGTGCCTACGAATCGTCGTCGTAAGAGAAAGAAAAGGTCACTTGAAATGCAAACTTGTGTGTCTCGTGGCCCGATTCTGACGAAATCCGCGGAGAAACCGTACGTTTCTATACCTATCGATGACCTTTATTCACTGTATTTTCTTCTTTTCTTTCCTTCGTTCCTTGCGATTCGCTCTTCGCGGAGGGGAGAATAGCCGTCGCAAGAAAGCATACGCGCAACGCGATAATAATACTCGGCGGTAAATGAACAGCCTGGTATTTGAGGCGGACGCGAGTAACCCTAACCGTCTCGCTTGGCCCGTCCCGATGGCTCCACGAATGTCGGCGTGTCTCTCGGAAAGGCATAAAAGAGAGAGGAAACGAAACATTTAAGGTAATCACATGCAAACAGCCGTAAAATAAAGGCAATTATATAAATGAGAGAAATTGCGTTTATTCTAGCGACGAGTGGTGGCACATTAGGAGAACAAGAAAGCGAGCGTTACATGGTAAGACATGTTGGCGGAAATGTCCCAAACTTGACAGTTTCTGAGCAATTAATTAAATTAATTTAGAGCTTGGACCGGACTAATACATATCTTATGCAAAATGTTTCGGTTTTAATATACTAGCAAATAATATTAACTCGGGAACGGGCGCTTGGGGTGATTTTTACACCCCAATATCGAAAAGATGAAGTTCACGTCACAATAATATTAATATGCTTCTTCCATTTTTAAAAATATTTTTTTGGTCTCTCCTTACTTTCTTCAAAAAAATGTTGAGTAAATCTATTGTCCTCAAATATTAATAAATTATAGAATAATAAAAAAATATGCAATTTGTAATTAATAATGACTTTTAATTGTGTAAAAATTATCCCAGGTGATCATTTATGCAAAAAAATCAGGCGCCCATTCCCACGTTAACAATTCGTAATTTTCTTATCGAATTGATACGAGAGTCTTTTCGATGTGTTTAAATATTCCGAAATTCGTTGGTCGCATATCTTGTCACGTGTCTGTCCCTTGTTTCTCGAACATACGTGACGAGGCGCAGCATGTATTTTCAATCTTTCCGGCATCGAGTTCCGCGTTATTTTATCGTCTTATGTAATCGGCGTGCGCTGCATGCTCGCGTAGGTACATCACGACAGCAAATTTTCCGCAGCCGGCCGGCGGCGGCATAATGTTGGAAAGCGACTGTGTAGTGTGTGCCCGTTAAACACGAAGGTGAAAATTTCCGGCCGGTTGACGTTAGAAATGTCTTTGGCTTTGCGATTGTCCGCCGTCGCTTCTCGAGCCTTCTCGGTTGCACCGCATTGTTGAAAAAAAGTAAACGCCCGGAAAAACCTTCGTTCAATATATTTGCGGATTGCTGCATTTACTTCAGCGACACGAGTGTGACTGGTAGTTCACGATAATGCAGTCCAATTTCCATCGCGTTCAATGACGCGTTAAATGACATGATCCGTGCCTTCGATTACGATCGACCGACAGATTTGCAATTTAGCTCTTACAAAACGACACGTGCGACATTTTTGTTGTTGAAATAATTCCAGGAGAAATATATTTCGCTGATGCCACAGGATATATATCTACTTTAAATAGATAGAGATTTGTTTTATCTTCTCCTTATCTTCGTACAATTAGCAGTTTTATCGATCAGATAAGACGACACGCTGCAGTAGTGATAAAGCACGGCGATGTAAATGGCTCGCGGCGTCCCTAATCGCCGCCGCGGTGGACAGATTCTCAAGGAGTTGCTTGTTTATGCGGTCGGTGAGTCACTTCAGGTTTCCTCGTCTATTTCGTCATAAAACTAGCAGCAATGTAATAAGATATAAAATCGAAGGAAGGAGGATTAACGTTCGCGAAAGTGGAGCACGAGCTGGTTGCAACGCCGTAGCTTTGCAGCGCCGTTGCGCACGTGCAACGAACGGATTGCATTATGTACATGCGAAACAGAGCAGACTCACGGCGCAGTTTTTCCATTATAAAAAATATTGTTTTTCCACCGGTGCCTTCCTCGTACGAGCAGGTTGCAATTCCGCGCAGGCGTGTCGAAAGTAAAACTCACCTCGTTAAATCGGATAATCGCGCGATGCACTCCGCTTTTAATTAATTTTTTATCTAATAAACGCCGAGCAAAAGATTATATAAGCGTTATCTCTTAACTGCAAGCGTGGACGATAAATTGCTCTCGTATATAGTTATATATATTTCGCACTTAAGAGAAAACGCGCTGAATTATTTATTTTTTCATAAATCTCTCTTTTATCTAGCAACATCTCACATAAATGAGTGATTTTTACTTCGGTATTTTTTTTATTAATATTTTATCATTTATCAGTTTATATTTAACGATTGAAGGAAGAATGATTATTTCCTACATTTATATTTGGAGCGTTCTACATGTAGATTATTCTTCTTCTTGGACTAATGGATTCGAATGTGTCAGGTAAACAAAACTTTTTTAAGCAATATGTAAATTGTACATGTACTCACTTCCAATTTAGCGGAGTACTCCTCGGCCAAGGTTTCAGCCTGCTTCGTCAACTCCTGATTCCTCTCGAGTAGAGCCTTGCCGAGTTCGGCGGCCAGGACGAGGTCCCTCTCGCGTTGCTTCAGCAACTCGGCGGGGTCCTGCACCACGTCCTCGTGGTCCAGCGAGTGCCTCCTCGCCTGGAGATCCGAGATCATGTCCTCGAGGGCGTACGGCTCCGTCTGACAGTCTTTCTTCGGCAGCATCGCGAATTATTGGCGCTCCTTCCACGGCACGGCACGGCGAAACGTCACTTCTGCACCGATTCGCGCGGCGCGAACTCGCGATTCTCGATCGATGTGCGGCACGAAAGGGGGAGAGGAAACACCGCGTCAGGTGAACACTTGGGCAACAACACGTCAGATGTATTCGACACGGACGCGGACACACGGTGTGATAAAATGCCAGTGACGTCGTCACGATCGGCTCTCCTTCGTGGACGTCGCGCGGACGTGCGTGGGCAGCGTCAAATTACCGGGCGCCATTGATTAGCTGAAATCAATTAATTCCAGATTTTTCACTCTTATTACGTTTGACAAACGAAGCGCCGCCGCCGCGCCGTGCATCAGGCGATGCGATATTAGAACTGAGCGAAATTAAACGAACTAAACCTAACGAACCCGAGTTGAGGAACTGAGTGGAATATATGTTTTTATTCTAATGTAGCATTTATAAGATAAGATAAGATTATAACATGTATTATATCTAAATGAATTATTAAAGAAATGTATAAAACGTTCAGTTATATAATATATATTTTTCAACATTGTGTGCATATAATTTTCTGCTCCCAATTTATTATTATACTGTTGTAAAAATTATTATTATTATTTTTTATTCAATATAGATTTGATTAAAGCGTCGTCGCGTATGACGAAGAAAAAATTTCCATTAGGCAGGCATTGGCAGATTATCACGTTAATGATAAAGAGACTACATAAATGAAATGCATACATCGCTGAAACAATATCCTTTCACTGTAATCAAGTATCCGTATAAATCTCTATAAGAAGCCATTTAATCGACCGTAAACGAATCTTATCTACATCATTGCTCATAAATATTTCTTCATCCACGGAAACTTTACTTACTTTATTTTTGCAATTTATGCAATTCAAATCCTAGAATTCTGTATGAATCATCAGCTGTATTTATTCGTTGGCTTTTGATTTCAGATAAAACAATCTCTATTTTTCCAAATCTTTATCATCACGAGAAACGTGAGGAAATATACGTGAGCAAATATTTGTAATCGATAGTCTGTATATTTTTCTTATTATCTAATACGGCTATTACGGCACGAGTGTCCATCAAAAGAGAAAAAAATAAACAAGAGGTTTATTTGTACATCATATTTCGACTTTAATAAAAACGAATTTCACGCGTGTTAATTTATTCCTAAGCTATTAATTTCCATAAAATAGGTACATTAGACACGTTTATATTTCTTTCTTTTTTGAGATTCATTCCGCGTTGCAAGAGACCTTGCGAGGTGCATCAGCTCGGCGTCTCGATAGACTTTAACAACCTGTTTCGCTCGAGGACCGCGCGCGACCCAAAAGCAGTCGGGCCTTGAAAGCTCCTCGCAGCGGAGCACGCGATTCAAGAACCGCCTGAATGACGCATAACGCACTCACCTCTCAACTCCGCGTAATCGCGCGACGCCGCGCGTGTCGGTCTCTCTCCTTCGGGGTTCCTGTCCTCGAGAATCGTGTGTCAGCGCTCTCTCGGCTACCGGAAGCGATCGGTCGCCTTGACATTGCGCTCGACGTACTCGTAATCGCATGAACCCATCCGGACGACTGGGTCTAGCCGCTTCACCGTCATCGTTAACCGCATCATCATTATCGACGAGAACAACGAGGAGAACGTTCTCATTGCGCGAGTGCAACGCACTCTCCGTTGTGCCTCTCCCCGGGGATATCGATCGCGGAAGTTCGCCGCGCTATCGATCGACCGCGGCTATCACCTGGACGGTTTCTTCCGCCTCCCGTTGCCCCGCGCGCCGCAACTCGATGTCATATACCCTGTCCCAGAAGGAGACGTTTATCGAGCTCGCGAGAATCGTCCGGCCGATCGTCCGGCGACTTTGCCTCGATCTTTCCTTGTTCGGAGCAAGGCCACTCGAATGGAAAGTCCAATTGCGACACCACACTTGCGTTCGTTCGTTCGTTCACAACTCGTTCGAGCACATCCGGTTACGAATTCACCCGCGGATTTAATCGTAAGGATGATCGATGATTTCTCGCGGCGAGCACCGCGCTGTCAGGTCGGAAAGGAGCCGCGTGAATTACGGCGCAATGATACTCCGTGGTTCTCCATTTATCCGCGTTGAACACAACGTTCGTTTTAACTTCGTACAAGAAAGATCGGGAGGAAGATGGATGGCTCTCAGACAACTGCGCTGTTTATCTCAAAGTGACGAAGCAGAGATCTTCTGCGTTGGAACCGCAGCTCACGAGAGTCCCTCGGCGTGAGTTTCATTTGCGACGGGATCATCTCGCACCGGGATTCCAGCCGCCTCTGCAAGAAAAATCAAAAAGGTATTAGTCTCTCGCCATTGTCGCCCTTAGAAATAATAGAGTAAGGAAAGGCTATTTGAGTCAGTCAAAGAAAAAATTGGATAAAAAATTTTTAGGACAGAAAGCTCCAAAAAACCAACAAGCCCTATGACTAAAAAAGTTCCTCCCTGTCTTGACAATATACTGCAAATCCAAGTGTGTTATTTTTACGCGCATAAACGTCTGAAAATGATACATTAGACTGAAGATCTTTTTACATGTTTCTTCGTGTGTTAAATTACGTCATTTAAAACGTTTAATCGTATTAGCATGTCATTTAGACGCATGCATGATTGTTACGGTAAATGAAACGTTAGTTAAATGTCGAACTTCTACTAACATGAGAAAAACAAACATCGACGATCGTCAATAAACAGCTAAAATGTTATCTGGCAAACTCGATATATTGGTGGCGATCATAGCGCAGAAAGATGTGCGCTGGTCTAATGAGCCGAAGAGCCGAGTTCAAATCCGACCAAAAATCGTCGGTTTTTATTTGATCGCCACCTCTCGGAAGGGTTAATGGCAACCCACCGAGAGTGTATCTCTAAGAAACCCGAAGGGAGGCCTCGGATTTGATAAAGGCCGAACTTCTTCAAGAGGCCATGGCTCAATCTTGAGCTGTAGAGCCATTGAAGAAAAAGAGAAATTCAATTAATTTCTCCAAAAAGGAAAAAAGTAACTTCTTTGATGATTATTAAAAATTGAAACCCTTGGCCTGACAAACGGCATCGGAAAGGCAATTGATAAAACTAACCTGATGAGAAGAGTCATGTACCATTTCGCAAAATTCGCAATAGTTTGTTGATGAGCGAATGAGCGCACACTGCAAATCAGTGTGTTATTTTTGCACGCATAAACGTCTAAAAAATGACACATTCGACTGAAGCTCTTTTTACATGTTTCTTTTTACATGACGTGATTTAAAACAGCAAGAAATGTGTAAGAAGCTTCAACTAAAATAACACATTTGGATTTGCAGCGTGTGCAGCCTCTCCTTACCCTAACAATAAGTATTTCCGCGCATCCCAAGTAGCATAGCAAGTCACAATAAAGTCAAAATGATGTCAAAATGACTGCAAAATGATGATTTTTTATCATTTTACCATCATTTTGACGTCATTTTGATTTTATTGTGACTTGCTGTGCTACTTGGGATCCGTCTAGACGACGCGCACTATCGATTCCCAATCGCAACATCATACTTTGAACATTAGCGTTTTTTTTTTTTTTTTTAGGAGCGGCACCTTGACATTCTCTCCTACGAATGACTCGCTAAACCTACGTGACGTAAGGCGTTATTTTCGTGTCGCGTACGGTGAACGAGTCGCCAACGAAAGGCACCTGCCGTGTTTTGCAAACAAACAGGCATCATTCGTTTTCACGTAAATACGCGCAATCGCGTAAATACACGTCAATCTCTCGATTCTGTGAGTCGAAACGGGAAGTTTCGAAATAGCGCGAGGTACGCGAGGTTCACTCGACTCGCTCGACGCGAATGGAGAGCGGTATCGAGCGGTGCGTGGGCGGATTTAATCGCTGATTTCGCGTGTTCGGCACGCGGACGCCCGAAAATCGGTTCCGCGGCGGATCGACCGTGGTTGTGAAGCGCGTGGGTGGAGAGAGAACACCGCGCGTACGAGTCCGCGCGATAGGGCGATAGAGTCGCAATTGCGTCGCATTATCCTTGAGCGGCGATAAAATGTGACGGCAAAACCGACGACGGTCACGGACGGCACGTGCGACAGTTCACGTTTATCGATTCGTACGTCGGCTTAGCGGCACCATCAACCCTTAGCGGCTGAATCCAATAATGGGGGGTGTGGATCTAACACCGTCCCTCGCGCCCACCCCGTTAATTCGATCGGCGACCAAAAGAAACGTCCCCCGATCGCGTTTCCCCCCTCGCAATCAACCCTCATCGGTAGCTTTCCATTGAGCGCGTCTTTGTTTGTCTCTCGCCAATTAGTATAAAATGACCTGCGCGAACCGCCTGGGTATCCTTAATTTCTGCTAAACGAAGAGTAGAGCATTCGTTTGAAATTGAAATACTCTTTACACATACGCGCGTTCGTATCTTTTCTTTCGCCCCGCTTTCGATAAATATTTTGCGGCGTCGCGCAAAAGCCTAGATAAATATTTATGACTCTATTAATATTTATAATTTCTTTCTTGAAAACTGAAAAAGAAACGAACACACTGTTCGTGTGACATACACATATGCACACACACACACACACATATACACACACACCTCTCAGCTCTCGAGCGCACTGCGAAATGCTGCGAAACGCGCGCGCGAGGATGTGGGAGAGCGGTCACGAATCTCGCACACACGAACACGGGCGCGCGAGGTCTACCTGCTTGCCGTGGCGCGGTCGGCCAGGTAGTGAGTCACTAGCCGTGAGTGGAAAATAAATATTACGGAATCGTGCAGCGTGCTCCGCGAGAGCGACCAGCCACGGCTCTCTCCCACCATATTGCCGCGCGGTTGAAAGTAATTCGTTCGGCTCGACGCACCCGCTTCGCGGCTCGGCCGCCTCTTTGTGTCGACTCGCGTAAACGCGAGGGAATTTCGACAATTTGCATTTTGCTTTATCTCCGAAGGATGGAGTGAAATCTGAAAAATGCGAGATTAATAAAAAGAATGGAAAGAAAAGCGGATTACTTAGTTAAATTACTTAGTTAAAAATCCACTTGAATCGAACGTCCCGTCGAATTAAACAAATCTCCGATCGTAATTTCGGATATTTTCGCGAATAGTATTCAAGTCTGATGGAGTTAAATAAATAGGATAAAATTACAGTGTTAAATATTAAAGAAATTTAAACTATTACCTTAAATTAAATATTTTGTTATTTTTAACTACATGCAGTATTGTCGAAATTTGTTATTTCAACTCCATTGATTTAGTTAAATTTAATGATATATCGAGTAGGAACAGTGACGACTCATAGGAATGGTTAAAAATGACTCAGATTGAGTAGGTATAACTTGACGCCACGAATTTAACAGTAAGTACATATCTTTCTGTAGATGTAGACACGAAAATAATTACTATTTCAGCGAAGGCAAATAATCCATTCTTCACTGTTACATATTAAAAAGTAAAATTTAAACCAATACCTTGGGTTAAATAACATTATCTTACTTTTAACCACCATCCACCATTTAAAACCCATGTATGCCGAAATTTATTATTTTAACACAAGAGACAGTGTTATTTTAACTCCACCGGTTCAGTTAAATTGACGAGATATTGAATAGAAGCAGTGGCGACTTATAGGAGTGGTTAAAAATTGAGTGTAATTTAACACTAACTCGAATTTAACAGTGTTCCAATGCAACTCCAGTTTGGCCGAAGTCGCGGCACACAACAAGCCGCGATGTCGCCGCGATCTTGTCGCAGTTGACGACAATTGTATCCTCCACGGAGCGTCCGCATGCATGACGCTCTCCAACAATCGCCGCTTCGGTATCGATCGAAGCGTATCCGAGCGACCGCCGAAATCGCTCCCGAGTCGAGCCCGAGGAATGGCGAGGCGCCGACATTGCATGCAGCATGCAGCGGGCAGGTCGAAATTCAACGCGGCGGAGTAAGTA